AGGAGATGGGGAAATGCGGAGAGATGGGGAGAGATGGGGAGAGGTGGGGAGAGATGGGGAGAGATGGGGAGGGATGGGGAGAGATGGGGAGAGATGGGGAGAGATGTGGAGAGATGGGGATAGGTGAGGGGAGAGAGGGGGAGAGATGGGGGGAGATGGGGAGAGATGGGGAGAGATGGGGAGAGACGGGGAGAGGAGCTGCGATGCAGCCGCCTCGCTCGCCCGCGCGTGTCGGTGGCGGCGGCGGCGGCTCCATCCCCGGCGCGCGCGGGGAGGTCGCCGGGCAGCGCGTCGGCGGCGAGGTTGGCGGAGATGCCCCACCGACCGTGCGAGAGTGTGTAGCTCTCTGCCGCGACCTAGCTCATACCCATCACAAGAACATTAACAACAGGAAAGAGTGCGAGAGTGTGTAGCTCTCTGCCGCTGCCGCGACCTCGCTCATACTCATCACAAGTTAACATCAATACCAAGTTCCAGTGCGAGAGTGTGTAGCTCTCTCTCTCGCTGCCGCGACCTCGCGGTCCGCGTGGTAGTACAGCCGCGGCACCGCCTCGCCCCAGCTGCCTGCGCGCGGAACACGCCAGCCTCAGCGCGGGAGGACGGGGGCTCGTGCCCGTGTCTTCACAGCGCCTCGTGACCGCAGGCGACACAACTGCGGATGGCTACGGATGGCTTCGGTCGCCGGCGGCGGAATACGTGTCCAGCCGGCTGGTTGGAAGAGGAGGGGGCGTATGCTCGGCGTCTAGGCACGAGATCTGTGGAGATCTGGGGAGATATGGGGAGATACGGGGAGATGCTCTGTCGCACCTGCGAGGGAGGAGATATGTGGAGATATGGGGAGATACGGGGAGAGATGGGGAGATGCTCCGCTTCTACGCCCGGCCGCCCTCGCACGACGCCACGATCTCTCGCAGCTGCGTCTCGCGCGCCATCACGTGCACCCCCACCGCCTCGGCCGCGAGCGGGTAGCGCTGCGCCTCCTCCCACTGCACCAGCTCGTCCGCCTGCGCCTCGCTCACCTGCGCCGTGCGTGCGCCAGCCTCGGGGCGGGAAGGCGGTGCTGTGTGGGG